CTCATGCTGATAGCATGACGCTATCGGTGTAGACCATCAGAATGAGGTTGTCCGATGAACGAAGCGGCACCCCACGAAAGGCGACATATGGACACAGAGCTTCTCGGTCGTTGGAGACTTTGGTCTCATTCTGGGCTACCGCCTGGTACCGGAGTCCGGTAACCGGACACTTCAGGCAGCAGGTGTGACGAATCGTCACTGACGATACAAAGCAGCAGTTTTTCCTCTCGCAAACGATATCGGAGCGGATACGTTTTGGCGTACGTTATGCTTAGGATCAAACCCGTTACGCTCCGCGAATGAATGCAATGGCGACTACAGCACGTGGCATGACCGAGCTATGCAAGCCCATTCGGAGGGTGTTCACCTTGGGTGGGATCCGTCACACTACCAAATTATCGAGGGGGCGGGGAGTTCAGATGGGAACCAAGTAGACGACGATGAAGTGTCAGTCAGCGACTCGGATAGGGCATGTCTCGAGAGGACGTCGTCCAGGAAGAGTATATGAGGATTTTCCGCCCAGGTCTACTCTCATATGTATCGGATGATGATGATGGTGAACATCTTGCTCTCGACATTGCCGAAGAACGCACTCGCTTATGCAGAGAGGGGTTTACAAATTATCAGGAGGCCGAGTCCTTTGTTGATGGCTTGAAGGATTTCCATCCTCAGATTGATCTGAGAAGTGGCGAAGTGACTCACCTAAACCGCGGTCAACGCGGACATTGGAGGACATTTACATTTTGGTGGCCTTATCCCTCTCCTGGCGGGCGACCTTGGCCAACTTCCTCCTGCTGGATCGCGTTTGGTATTCTGGTGATTCAGTAAGCGGAAGCAGCATGTGCGTTCAAGGGCTCCTCGTTCTCAACTCCATACGGCATGCATGCTTCCTGGATGAGAACATGCGCACAGCTCAACAGGATTTCCGCGATCTTCTGCTACGGGTGCGTGATGGGAGTCAGACAGAGGACGAAAACCAGATATTCCTCGACAGACACCTTCATGCTCTCCCCGCTGTGGAGAAGGCGTCGTTCGCAGAAGCTGTACTGACAACCCCTACACGCGAACGAGCGCTCTCAGTCAACAGAGCGCCGTTGGATGTACTTGCTGCAGGCTTGGTTAACGTGAAGGCTATCCATTCTGGCCGCGGCGCTTCATCAGCCACAGACGAGATAGCTAAAGGACTATCCAGCCATGTGCAGTTGAAGGTTGGGGTTCCAGTGATGCTCACGGCTACTCCAGCTGTTATGTGTGGGCTCACTAACGGCTCATTTGGCCGTGTTGCTGCCAGCAACTTGCTGGATTTATGTCTGCGGACCATCATGATGGAGGAGTGGGTATGTGACATACCGTATGTCTATTGTCCTTGTTGACTTCCCTGAACACATAGGGAGTCCATTCAATGAGAGGTGGCCCACAGTGGTACCGATACACTCTGTCACTCGCAGCTGGCTTTCTGGGGCACGTACATTATCACGTGCGCAAGTGACTTTAACCTTGGCCTTTGCGATGACGATATAAGCGAGGGTTATCTGGAGCCAAGATGGCTACGGAATTCTCGACACTTAGCAAGAACAGATTGCACCGAACTCGCATGTTCGGGTCTAGCTAAAGCATCCGTACGCATGCACAAGCCAGTGGTAATATCGGTGTCACTGTGACACTGTCACACGGGCTATGCAGAATCTACCATAATATAAACTTGAAGGTTATAAACTTAAAACTATAATACTCGGTGAAAAAGGGCAAAGCTCATAACACCGATCTATGCTGACAGGCCCAGAAATCAAGAGTCTCGATCTCACCGGGCTCATCATCCCATTCAACGTCAACCCGACCCGAGGCACGCATATCACGCACTGTACCCTTGAACCATCGGCGCACAGGTCGTCACCGTTGAGGATAAACTACATCATACAGGACTCTAAATATCATATCAATCAAACTGGGCGACTCATAGATAATCGGATCAGACGATGATGAGTCAGTCCCATCACGCCTAGACATTGGCGCGAAGGAGGTGGGCCTTGGTTCGACATATGTTGGTCTCTCGCGTACCCTGGGCCTCGACAGTATTGCTGTAAAAGTCATGTATCAGCGCCGTCTCAACTTGGCAAAGTGGAAAAAATCGGCAGGGGGAAGGGTTCAGAGGGGAGTAGGGATTTGGAGGCTCGACTTCAGAGTCTCGCATCTTAATGATATTTTTAACACGTTGTCGACGTTATGGATGTTCCTAGATTGCCAGTCTTAGTTCAAGTATATCAATGAGATTATGGAAGGTTCGAACTTAAAATGGGGAGTTCAAAATATACTTGCTCCTCATTCGTTGTACGACGAAGCTCACGTCGTATTTCCGCTCACTAAGCGAGCTCCGCCTCTTCGTCGCGAAGACTTAGTCTAACTGTTCTCGCAGGATTGGGCGCGCGCTTAGTTTCTAGGCGCGTCACGCTTTGGTATTTTTGAACGAGGCCGGAGAAGTCTAGTATTTTTAGTAAGCATATTTACAACAGGCGTCTAGGGTTAACATGTTTCGCCTGTACGCACTGTACAGGAACCACCGCCTTCTCTATGGGAGATACGAATAGGTTAGATCTCTAGAGTGCGCCTTTGCATTGGGTTTTGTTGGTGAGGATGCTTTCGTTCTCTAGGATATTTGTATAATAATGGCCACTATCCCAACCGTTGACCTGGCCTCACCATTCATGGAAACTGTCGAGGCCATTGATTATGCCATGACCACTTCGGGTTTCATCATCATCAAAAATGCCCCTAAATTCCCCGCCTCAAGGAACCGGACAGCTCTGCGAATGGCATCGGCCTTATTCAGTGTTGATAATAGAGAGAAACGCACATCTCTAAGCCCCGTTCCGCACTCTATTCGAGGTTACTTCGGTGTTGGTGGCGAGAATATTGAGGGTCTAACGTCTATTCAGGATAAGGCCGTTTCTGAGGTGAAGGTGATTGACTCTAAGGAAGGCTGGGAAGTCGGACGAGAGTACCCACCTGAATCGGGTCGTCATCAAGACTCTATCGTTGGGAGGCTCTTCTGCGACCCTAAGCTCAACAGGTGGCCCATAGGTCTGGACTCCCACAACTGTCCTGTTTCTCCGAATAGCACGGATGCTTCGACCCAGTCCGAGGAAAACTGCTATTATCACGAAGATTCTCAGTTATCGACTCAGCAGCTCATGGCTGGTCTTCACTTTGATAATGCGGAATGTAAGGATATCACGCCCGAGGACTTCAAGAATTTTATCACTGCATATTATGAGGACGTTGTTGAGCTTTCGAGTCATCTGATCGCTCTTGTTGAGATCGCCTTGCAACGCCACCACAATGTGTGTCCTGGTCTTGCGGCTCATTGCAATTCTGACAACATGGTGAGCACTTTGAGGATGCTCCGGTACCCTCCTAGCATGGGGAATCGCTTTAGTAAGCTGCCCAGTGGGGAAAGTATCGGCATCGGTGCTCACAGAGACTATGGTCTTCTTACTATTTTACTTCAAGATGGTTCTGGTGGCCTGCAAGTACTGAGTCCTGAAGGCACGAGTTGGATCGACGTACCTCCCAATGTCAATTTGGATTTCTTCGTGATGAATGTTGGCGATATGCTTATGCAGATCACAGGTGGTTTATACAAGTCTAATATTCACCGCGTTATTAGACCGGAGACATGCTCCGAGTCGAGATATTCGATACCATTTTTTGTCGAACCTGAGCCTCGGATGGAGATCCCCGGCACTGGCGGTAACGACTGTGAGGCGTTCCTCATTGAGTACTATAAGAGGAGTGGAATTCTCAATGAGGAAGTTGTTCGACATCATCGACAAGCTCTTCAGAAAGTCTCAAACTAGCCCTGTTACTATTACTATTTTTCCAAAGTCTTGGAGCTTCCGTATCAGCGATCACCAAGTTGAGCAGTGAGCTCGTTTCATAAGAAACCTGAGCTTGGGTTAATTGAATCTTCGTTGAAGAATATGAATAACTGAATGTTCTTATTGCTGGGTAAAAGGGAGCTCCTCACAACTACCGATACGGATACGTTTTCGGATACGCAAAGACTAGGTTATGTTTATCATTGTCGCTCTCCTCAGCTGAGCTCAGGAGTTTCCTCGCTAATCTGAGGAACTTTTACGTGACCTGGGCTAGAAGTGTACAGAAACCAACAAGAATTTCCCTCAGAAATCGGATATTGTCACCAACACATGTAGTTGGCCATATGCAGATTTTCTCACTTTGATGTTAGTACTGAAAATAGGCGGTGACATTCTAGGGCGGAGCGTAGCATTTGAAAGTCGCTTATGGAAACATGGCTAGCAAAGGATTGATGTCGAAAACTTCATGTAGTACGTTTTCGAATTTCAAAGACTATGACGGCGATTGATGCAGTATTGATGCGAAACAACATCGGGAAGGTCCGTGCGTTGTTGTCGAGAAGGTCATTTTCGAGCACACCACATGAGAAACGGTCACGGTTCAGCGGCTATATATCGCAGTAGGAGGCCGACAATGCATCGCATGAGCGTTACTTCGTGGGTGTTGACCTTAGATATGATCGATATCAAGGTTACGGTTTCATCTCGCCTGAAGAGGTCCTGCCTGGTGTACAGGGCTTGCGAGATGTCTTTGTGCATCGCAATGATGTTGAATGGCCCACCTCCACTACTGGAGTCTCAAGGACTCTGGAATCTGGTGAACACACGCAGCGTTGGGGGAAGCCTCGTTTAGTTCCTCCTATGTGCTAGCTACAACGAGGCAGCTATGTGCCTTCTTGGGAATTGACTATTTATGCAACTTACCAGCGTTTATGTCTGTGTTGTGCGATAGTGCCATGCCTCAGGTACACGAGTCACCTTCCAGGTCGTGGATGATCCTGGCCGACCACGCCAGTTCAGAGCGGTTTCTGTGCGAGTAAGTTAGCAGAAATCCGGTCGTCGGTGTGGCTACTATTTTTGCCTCTCACATTCTCACTATCTAGTAGTTAGCATCTACGGTGGTAGAAGCGCGTTTCTTGTCATTGTCTTCAGCCCGTACTGGCCTCTGACCGACCAGCATCTAACCAGCATTCACTGGAGCTCGAACGTTATCAGTCGCGGCATCGAAGTGCGACCATTGACTTCTCGGCCTTGAAGAAAGCTGTTTCTGATCAGCATGCCAAGAAGGTTTCTGAGTGCGTTGATAATTTTGTGTAAGGTGGAACTGAAGTTCGCAACTGACTTAGTTTTCACGTTTCGAACACAGAGAACTTTCTTTGCAGAAGCGAAAGAGAGAAATGACCGATGTTTTCTGAAAAAGAAGAGAAATCTCCACAGCATTTCATTTGTCGGCTTCATGACTGCTGAGAAAGTAACATTTGAAGTGCTGCCACGATGTGGGCTGGCGTATCGAACTGAACCGTCGTACGACGCGAAGGAATCATCAGGGCGATTCGCTAAGTATTCCGAAGTAGTTGAGGCCGTCAGCGTTGATGATGATGAATTCATCCGCCTGCGTGATGGGTCATATCTCCCTCTGAGGTGAGGCCTGTTGCACTCAGTTGAACTCAGTTGTCATTGTGTAGAAGCTCGATAGTTGATATAAGGCGGCCCTGTTAGGGACTCTATATTAAGTACCCCCTATGATACTGATGCAGTGTAGACTCTTCACTGTAGAGATATTTCTGGATGAATGCAGAGTGACAAAAGAACTAATGAATAACATGACGTTTTTTCAATTCCTGCTCCTCTCGGTCCTTGCATAGATCAAGTCTACTTGAATTCTGAAAGTCAAACTTGATCGTAACACCGTCATTCTTGCCTGCTCACTTGTCAAACTTGCACGAGAAAAGGTGTAGAAATCTTGAGCTTTTCGCAACGGCTCGAAGCACTTCACTGCACGCTTTTCAGAACTCCAACCGGACGGGAGCTTCTGCGCAAGGTCCAAGTCCCCAAGCAGGACAGAACAAGTGATTACATGTGTTCATTCAAAGACGCATTGGAAGCACAAGGAGTCCGCACAGACGATGATCCTTATATTAAAGCTTATGCTACGAAGGAGACTGTCGAACCAACCACTGCCTCTTTTGGTGCATGGGACTCTCTTGGAGGCTTACGTGGAATCGAAACGAATGGGATATATGGCAAATGCAACTTCAACCTAGCGTCGTGTTTAGACGCGGAACCAGCCAAGATAGATCTATCGGAAAGGCCACTACTATGTTTGTCGGTGAATGGGGTAAGTCATGTACTCGAACCACTCTTCGAGTCCAATAAACTTGTCCTCTGCTCATTGTGAGTTTAAAGCCCAATGCCTACGACAACGCGGCTTAGTTAGACTCATAGTATGGATGCACATTAGCTCACGAGGAATCAGTTTTCGCCTATTAAGTTGACACCGTCTTCGATGCGGGGCCATGAACTTTGATGTGAGGCGTACCGTTACTGGGGTCCGGGATTCGATTGACCGGTAGAAACCAACGACTTAGGTCAATGACGATGAGGTCGCGGTTGGGTCTACAGACCATAGTGTGAAGGTGATCAGCTGTAGGACAGCTAGACAGACTCGAGAGCTGTACTCGAAACGATTCGGTCACACTGAATGGGTATATCCTACAGCGTCCGTTGAGTCGTCACTCAGTCGTTTAGGTCACTACGGTGACACATCTGGCAGACGGTCGAGTTGCCTCGGGTGGTATGGACTCCAAGATTTGCATCTGGAATAAAACAGGCGTCAGCTGCCTTGATTTGCGGGACCATGTGGGGTCCATCTCGCGCTTGCGATCATTCGACGATGGGTGAGTATTCAGCAAGGACCGGACGATAGCCGCTCATGTGTTTGGTCGGTGCAGTTTCACCACCCTAGTGATATGAAAAGCACCAGTGAAAACATATTTCACGACTACTGCATAGCGCGAATTCCGGGTTTCTCACCGAGTTTTACACCAATTCACGTGAAACGCGTGAAATTCCAATACGCTGAAGTGACACTGATATGAGGAGAAGTTGTGCCCTGTCTGACTGTCGCCTACTCCTTGTATTGCCTCACTGAGCAATACATGCAAGAACAACAATGCGTCATGCTCCCAGATCCGGTATAGTGAGCTCGAGCTATGACCGAACCTTACGTATTTGGTCTACAAAGAGTGGCCGTGGTCGTGGCTTCCACTGCGATGCTGTTCTACAGGGCCATTCGGGGCCGGTGAGCATTGGATGCCATCGCGACCATTAAGCAGCTTCGGTTAGGTCCTGGACTTCATCATCTGCCCTAACTACGGTATAGTTTCTGGCGGAAGAGACTCTACGATGAGAATCTGGGATACATTCTCCGGGAATCAGGTGAAGATGAACGCCATCGTCATTCAATGTTTTCTGGCTCTCCCTTGCTAACACTATGGGGATTGTCTCCTACACCACATTGCGGACTTTGACGCGCGTGCATAGGCCCGAACAGGCTGAAGACTCTCCTCAGGAGAGTCTCCTGCTGTCTTGATCTAAGACTACTGGGCATCGTAGCTTGTCGACTTGAAGCTCGGCTTAAGTATCCGACTTGAGCTTGGCAACCCCACTCAGGTCGCCTCCTTACGAGGGCATTCCAAGGGTCATATCACGGCGTTAGAGTCGCTAGTCGATGCAAGGTGCGGCGTAGTCCGATTGTTGGCTCTTCGTTTCACCATAGAGATCATTGGGAACTGTACTCGATAAGAGTTTTATCATAAGACTGGTCCGTATATGTTAGCCAGAACACCGTTGCTGATAATTCTCCATAATATGCTGGTGGACATACGTTTGTGACCCCACAACAACGAGTTACTCATCTTCATACGGTCATTTTCAAGGTTGCTAATATCTGGCGGACAAGATGGTGTCGTGTGCGTTTGGGATCCCCGCTGTGATATCCGACGCCCAGTTGAACGGTTAGTAGATCTCCATGCCAGAGGAGCTGCTGTTGGTGACATACACGCAACCCGAGAAGGACTAACCTCATCACTGTTGGCGCTGATGGAGTCGTCATGTAAGCTCATCGGACTCTGCAAAGTGTGAGATGATATCTCGGCTCATCATGCATGACTTGATAATCGATCTGTTTTAGTGACAACTCTGTAAGGTATGAACACGAGGATGGGTTTTCGACTGCATGCAGATGGGAGCATGATCATGAAAACTTCATATATGCATCGATACTCCTCGGCACGCAGGTGAACGGCTCTTCCTGGATTCGTGGCATCGTATTAGCTTTGGCGTGAAGTTGTCCACTTCGACCGGGCCGTACTCACCGCATCAGTCCCACAGTTTTGTTTGGGACTGAATCACCTCAGTTGTGTACTGCCGGTGGAGATGGAACGGTAGCTGTGCGGGATATCGTCAGTGGACATATTCTCCATCGTGAGAAGGTTGCCGACAACGCTCTTCGGTACGGTCGACGTTGTGCGGGAGCGCCTTCCACTGCTTTTCTTCATTCCAGTTGTTTCGGTGTTGTCCGAGGCGGTCTGGTCGCTGCTGGCGACGATGGCAATTTTTTGATCTGGAATTGACTCAGTGCATGAAGTGTCACGTACTTCTAAGTTGTCGGGCCCTTGAATTTGGTTGCGTTGAGTTTATCAGTCTGGTGCACGGCTGTCCGTGAAACGCAGTATCTGGTAGGATTCACGTCAGGGTCATTTGTGTAATACAGCTGAGTCATAGGTGATGCGAAAGTGCCCCTATCACGAATAGGCCCCTGGCGATGTGCATTTGCAAACGCTGCAACTCTCTGCGACTGTAACAGAGGGGTCAAAACCGGACTGAACAGGTCCTGAGAACAAGGGGTCCAGCACCCCTTGGTGGCAAGTCTTCTCCTTCCATTATCGGTGGCACTTAGTCAACAACCTTCAGCAACTTGTTCAACCAAATAACACGACCAAATTCAACAATTCAGGTTCGTGTTTCACAGATTGTCACTGAATGCAGTCTACGTAGGTGAGTCCTAGTTCATAGTTCCTATCTGAGGGAAGATTGTGATCACGGTGATCAGATCACCAGCTAGCCTCAAGACACTAATTAGCATCAAAAGTATGTGGTTCTATAGTGTAGTGGTTAGCACTCTGGACTTTGAATCCAGCGACTCGGGTTCGAATCCCGATAGAACCTATTGAGAAAAATACAATCTTGACATCAATTATTCAGTGATTAACGAGTTTGAAATAGATACTCGGATTCAAAACTTTGATTGACGTGAATGTGTGGTTCTATATAATGCAGGTATTGGCATTCTGGAATCAAAATATCGCAACTCTGGTTCGATTCTCGATAGAACCTAGATGCATTAAGTGACGCTCTCCGCATTCGACAACCTAACCTGCGGGATATCCAGCAGTGCTGCTGTAACCGCTTACTCCATCGGAGAGACTAATTGGAGACCCATAAATGAGGGGAGGAACAAATTTGAGGACTCGAGATTGCACCACGTGAGCTTGGGTCGTTGAGATTAGCTGGATTCAAGGTGCATCTTATGAATGTACAGAATGTTAATACACTTGACGACCATCCAATCTGTCACAAATTATGTGTGGAACAACTGCATCACCTATTCAGCCGCTAGTCAGAACTTCTGACTCAGAAGCGCTCCCATGCAGTTGTGTAGAACAATGCGGAGCACCTCGCGACGCGAGGCTCACGCTGCGCTACACCCAAGCGGTCTAGTTCGTTACACTAAAGCTGCGGTGAGAAGTCCAATGTGATGTATTCCATTGCAAACTGGGACAAGATTGCACGTTGATGCTTTGGTGGAGGGTTAACCTTTTTTGGATGGTTCGGTTATGAATCGTGTGCTATCTATGCTATAATTAGGGGTTCATGTGGCTTCATGTTCCTTTTTTGTTGAGGTAAAGGAAGAGGGGGCTCTGTTGAGGGGGCTCTCTGGTGTCCACCACCAGAGAGCTACCGACTGAGCTATTGCCTGCCAGGCAATGCCTGGTACTTAACTACATGTGTGCCAACGGCAGCAGGGTGTCAAGAGCTCAACACATTCGGACGATCGAAATTTTGACTTCCGCATAGTTGAAGGCGTTCCATCATTGGCTCTCATAATGAGAGTCTTACCAGTACTAAATCAGAATAACACAAGAGAAAATTCGACAGAAACGAAGTTGCTAACTTTTTCATGCGAGCATTTCCCTGCTGGGGATACCGTCTATAGAAAGAGGCGTGTCGTGCGCATCTACATACTTGGCTGAAAGCGAAAACACTATGCAAACACACGAGTCCTTATCGAGCCGAGTCACTGAATGACCGTCGACAGCGATCAATTCGCAAACTTTGTATTTTCATAAACTCACCACTTCTCTCCGGAAGAAGAAAGTCAACATAAATTCCACCCGATGATTCGTCCTCAACTTCTACCCCTTCGACGTGCGACGAGACGAAACTGAAGGTCCGGTATGGTCGCACTGAATCACCAGAAACTTCACCTTAAGGACTTCGCACAGAATTCAACTTGAGGGACTTTATCTCCTAGCAGGACCACACCCGGTGAGGTCAATTTCTTCATGGCTGCATACGTGTCAGCAAAGGTCGGAAATCTAAGCAATAACAATCGGAGAAAATGACTGCAAATATTGCAAAAAGACAACGGGCAGCCGCAAGAATACTAATAATCACCTCAGCAAATGATACCATCGTTGAGCTGTTCTTGGACGAACCATCTGGTATCACTCAGAACATCAACAGTAGTCTCACCCTCAGTTCCACCCGAGCCCCCCAGGGCCTCAGCGTCTCTCAAGACGTGATCGATCGGTCGAATACAATGTCACATAAACTTCGAAATGCCCACCTTGAGCTTTAAAACTTCATCAACGCTCACTGGAGGGTCAGACTGACTTCTACAGTTCTCGCCGACTCAGAAGTGACGCGCAGGCTCCTCAAGGGAATGGACGCCTTGGAAAGGTCGGCGTTAACATGCCACGGTAGACTACTGAGAGGTCCTCGACCCATCCTCTCCCACCTCGAATATCGGCGCATTGCGAACCCTCATCTCAAGTCGTGCGTTGGTGTCAGCAGTTATGATAGACCCAATACTCTCTAATACTTCAGAGAGCATATATCTGCAATACGATACGCATTTTGTAACCACAAAGTAATTTCAATATACACTTCCTCGACTATCCCACTTCACTTACTGCCAGGCAACTCTTGTGATCATGAGTGTTCGTTTGAATATCGCAGGCTCGAGGCGCATGACTCTGTTAGAAACATCATCAGCACTCGTACAAACAATACCAAAGAGCCGAGCCACGTTCGACCGGCACATCCTCGCCGACTGAAAACTCATCAGATGACTTCCTCTTACTTCAACTCCAACTCTCCCACCTTTTCCGTCTCAAATTCGATCATTGCTGTTATACGCGATTCGTGAGCCGCAAAACTTTGCGAACTATCAGAAATCGAATCCGCGCTCGAGGCCCTGCCGTCGAATATTGTGAGGAACCTTCTGCGCAAGCACAATTTTGTCCCCATTTCACTGTCTCCTTTATTCCTTCTTTGTTGGGTTTCCCCTAGTGCACAACACCTGGTGCCCAGACCCAGGAACGAACTGAGGACCTCCAGATTGAAGAGGCACTGCAAAAATGCTGTCGCAAATTGCGAAGCCTGTCAAAAGAGAAAAACTATTGCAGGCGATAGACAACAATGGCATCCATCAACTATATACTGATATAGTTGGACCTTATAGAACATCGAATGGTGAATCACTCATGTATGCAATTACAATAATTGATAGTGCGACAGGATATGCTTTAGCAAAACCTACCAAACACAGTCCAACCAGTAATGATGTTGTTGAAACGTTCCGACATCTTACTGAGGTGTTTTGTACCGAACCGTTAATGGTACACACTGATAATGGATCTGTGTTCGTCTCGGAAAAATTCTCCAATTACCTGAGATCGATTAAAGCAATACACGAGCGATCTGCCGTTTTTGGAAGTTGGTCGAATGGAAAAGTGGAGTGTCTACACCGAGATATAAATGCCTATATACGATGCTCGAATAAGAATGACAATTTGAATTATAATACGTTCAGCAGTATGGTAAAACAAGCGATTCTCCAGCATAATACAATACCATGAAGAGATGGCAAGAGCCCTCATGACAAAATCTTCAGGTTTCGAGCAGAAGTGGAACCGTTAAAACCAGTAGAGTTACGCGCAGGTTATAGTGATTTGCTTGATGTAAATAGTACGCCAGAAACTCTGCCAAATACATTGAGCAAAGGTACTGAGGTGCTCTGCCGAAAACATAGTCAGGGCCAGAACTTCTGGCCCAGAAGTATCAGCCCGTTTAGGAAAAGGTCATTATCATACGTAGAGTAGCTCTTAATATGTATGAAGTAGCTGCCAAAGATAAAAATGGCAACTGGTATGCAAGAACAGAACACACAAAAAATTCAAAGCAAATAAATATAACCTCATCAAATGAGAGTGGTTCGGAGAAGGTTAATGAGAAAACTGTAACTAGTGATGAAAAGGATAAAAGTACGTTACTGAGTGCACCGGATGATGAACAGAAGCACAAGCGTGCCAATTGCGCCGCTCAAGAAAACCATAAAATATCATGAGCGCAAGATTCAAAGTTAAAGACACTCAATGAATTCGAATTTAGGGGTTCTGCTCGATTGAAAGCCCTCCAACAGAAGAAAGGGGGCATGTGAGGAACCTTCTGCGCAAACACAATTTTGCCCCCATTTCACTGTCTCCTTTATTCCTTCTTTGTTGGGTTTCCCCTAGTGCACAACAAATATCTCCACGTCAACAATGCGGCCAATCTGAATTCAATGAGAACTCTCATCAAATGCAAATCAAAGAGGACCTACATTGCCCAGGGCGTGCGCTAAATTCTCTCGAGTGACCCCAAATGGGAGGTTCGTTGCGAAGACCATCCGGTCTTGTCGACTACGAGTACTATCAGAATCTTCACCAACAACAGAGCCGCTGAGGATCTCAACTCGCACCTGCATGTGAACACCTAATATGGGATTCTCAACCTGACCTCGGCT